TCTTGTTAACTAGGAGTGTGTTGTGTAGTTACCATGTTGGGGTCTTGTTAACTAGGAGTGTGTTGTGTAGTTACCCTGTTGGGGTCTTGTTAACTAGGAGTGTGTTGTGTAGTTACCCTGTTGGGGTCTAGTTAACTAGGAGTGTGTTATGTAGTTACCCTGTTGGGGTCTAGTTAACTAGGAGTGTGTTGTGTAGTTACCCTGTTTGGGTCTAGTTAACTAGGAGTGTGTTGTGTAGTTACCCTGTTGGGGTCTAGTTAGCTAGGAGTGTGTTGTGTAGTTACCCTGTTGGGGTCTTGTTAACTAGGAGTGTGTTGTGTAGTTACCCTGTTGGGGTCTAGTTAACTAGGAGTGTGTTGTGAAGTTACCCTGTTGGGGTCTTGTTAACTAGGAGTGTGTTGTGTAGTTACCATGTTGGGGTTTTGTTAACTAGGAGTGTGTTGTGTAGTTACCCTGTTGGGGTCTAGTTAACTAGGAGTGTGTTGTGTAGTTACCATGTTGGGGTTTTGTTAACTAGGAGTGTGTTGTGTAGTTACCCTGTTGGGGTCTTGTTAACTAGGAGTGTGTTGTGTAGTTACCATGTTGGGGTTTTGTTAACTAGGAGTGTGTTGTGTAGTTACCCTGTTGGGGTCTAGTTAACTAGGAGTGTGTTGTGTAGTTACCATGTTGGGGTTTTGTTAACTAGGAGTGTGTTGTGTAGTTACCCTGTTGGGGTCTTGTTAACTAGGAGTGTGTTGTGTAGTTACCATGTTGGGGTTTTGTTAACTAGGAGTGTGTTGTGTAGTTACCCTGTTGGGGTCTAGTTAACTAGGAGTGTGTTGTGTAGTTACCCTGTTGGGGTCTTGTTAACTAGGAGTGTGTTATGTAGTTACCCTGTTGGGGTCTAGTTAGCTAGGAGTGTGTTGTGTAGTTACCCTGTTGGGGTCTAGTTAACTAGAAGTGTGTTGTGTAGTTACCCTGTTGGGGTCTAGTTAACTAGAAGTGTGTTGTGTAGTTACCCTGTTGGGGTCTAGTTAACTAGGAGTGTGTTATGTAGTTACCCTGTTGGGGTCTAGTTAACTAGGAGTGTGTTATGTAGTTACCCTGTTGGGGTCTAGTTAACTAAGAGTGTGTTATGTAGTTACCCTGTTGGGGTCTAGTTAACTAGGAGTGTGTTGTGTAGTTACCATGTTTGGGTCTAGTTAGCTAGGAGTGTGTTATGTAGTTACCCTGTTGGGGTCTAGTTAACTAAGAGTGTGTTATGTAGTTACCCTGTTGGGGTCTAGTTAACTAGGAGTGTGTTATGTAGTTACCCTGTTGGGGTCTAGTTAACTAGGAGTGTGTTATGTAGTTACCCTGTTGGGGTCTGGTTAACTAAGAGTGTGTTATGCAGTTACCCTGTTGGGTGTTATAATAAAACGTGTTGCCACTAGTACAGCACTAGCGTATAGTAGTCTAGTGTATAGTGTAGTGTATAGTGTAGTGTATAGTAGAGTATAGTAGTGTAGAGTATAGTGTAGTGTATAACATAGTGTATAGTAGAGTATAGTGTAGTTTATAGTGTAGTGTATAGTGTAGTGTATAGTAGTGTATAGTAGAGTATAGTGTAGTGTATAGTGTAGTGTATAGTAGTGTAGTGTATAGTAGAGTATAGTAGTGTAAAAACTTGATTAGGTGCTTTCGTGACTGCAGGAATTACTCTTTGGTTTTTTCGGTAAAGTCACGTAGAAATAATTAAACAAAAATTACATAATAGCATACGACGTTTCGATTGCAAAACCAGCAATCATCATCAGGTACAGAAGAGCTAAATTTAAGAGTGTAGTAGTATAGTGTATAGTAAGTATAGTGTAGTGTATAGTGTAGTGTATAGTAGTGTTGTGTATAGTAGAGTATAGTAGTGTATAATATAGTGTATAGTGTAGTGTATAGTGTAGTGTATAGTGTAGTGTATAGTAGAGTATAGTGTAGTGCACTGTGTCGTGTATAGTGTTGTATACTCGTACATCACTACACCAGTTGTGTGTTGGAGAACAAATCCACAACAATTACAACTATTTAATGGATTATATTGGTGGCGACAGCCTACGTGTTAAATGGCTGGTGTTCCCAATTGCATCCATTGGAAATGTGTGTACTTCTACACTACGTAATACGTTTATAAAGCAACAAATGTCACAGCAAGAGGTCAGGCAGCCCGTCAAATGGACGAGGTGATTGGACAGAGGCTTTTATTAATTAATAAACAACGATTAGTATTCGCGATAAGCAGTGTGCGTACTTTTCACATGGAATGTCACAGCTGAGAGGTCATAATATTGGCCAAACGTTGAGTGCCCGTAGTAAAATGTTAACTACATCTGAAAGCTTCTGGTCTTCTCGGCCACGGTCATTCCCTCCCTTCTCTACGCTTCCAAAACGTGGACCCCCCCTAATGGAACATCCTCACTAGTTAGAAACATTCAGGCTGGCCCTGCTTACGATCCATGCTGGATTTAACCTGCGGGCTGGATTGTGTGAGGAGGTCACAAATCCTTGAAAGATCTGGACAAAGTCCCATTGGTGAGCTATTCCGGCAGGCAAGGCTGTGTTCGCTGGGTCATGTAGCTCACATGCCCAGTCACCGCATACCTAAGCAGCTTGTGTTCGACCGGATCGAGAGGGCTAAATGGGCGTGGCACGGGCTAGAGAAGAGATGGAGTGATGTGGTAGAGGAGGATGTGGAGCTGAGTGGACTTGCCGATGACTGGTACCAGCGGTGTCAAGATTGGGCTCTGTGGAGGAAGCTCGTGAAGGACGCTGCTCCTGGGCAGTTAGAGGGAGTTGCCCTCCAGTAACAGTAGAGGGCAGAGGAGCGACGCTCACAACAATGAACGGTGTGCCGGGCAGATAAATTGCAGCAAGTTGGCACAGTAGGGGGCATAAGTGCTGCATCTGAACGTCATCTCAGTCGGTCAACCCATGGCACTTTCAGTTGTAATTTGATCTTCATCCATGCTCATTGCATCTCACAACGCTGTGCGGAACACTATAATTATCCTTGCATAATCACGTTCAGGGTTACATCGTATGCAAGGCGATGATCATTGTTGTTACTGAGTACAGCGAATTAAATCCGTCGGATAAAAAGAATGAATTAAAGCAATCGAGGAATGTGATTAGAAATTGTACGAGTAACGTCAACATGAAACCCATGAGCTCAAAATCTAAACCAGGAACCAATAATCAAGAAATGGTTACAAAAATTAAAGGTATAAGCAACATTAAAGTTACCACGCACACAGACGTATAGAAAAGTATGCGTGTGCACTTGTGTGTGTGTGTACACGTGTGATGTACACTTGTAAGTAGATGTGTGTATACATGTGGTGTGGGTGTGTACACGTGAGTGGGTGTGTGTGTGTATACACGTGTGTAGGTGTGTGCACGTGTTTATGTGTACACGTGTGTGTAGGGTGGGTGTACACGCGCAACTGATAGGTCTACATCAGAGACAGCAGCCTTCATTCGTTCCTCGTGTCACTAGCAGTGTCAGTAGACCAGGATAACACAACGAGCCTTTTGCCCATCCAAGGACGGGTGTATTGCAGTAAATCTGAAACTTGCAAGCGAAAAGCAGACCGCGACGTGATATATTCATTGCATCAATGCGAGTGCAATTTGTAAGGGCGCGGTGACACGGACCTATTTCATTTTAAGGTTGTAATGCCTTGTTCATCATGACGTCCTTTTTACTTTGATGTCTCAACTGCGTTACGGAGATCACGTGACGTGAGGGTTCTGCCTTTGTAGTGAGGGTTGTAAGTCGACGCCGAGGAGGGGGGAGGAGGCGCCTCGCCCCCCATGTGGAGTGACGTCAGCCGCTAATTATTATTACTGGGGCGGCAGGGGTGTTCATTTGGAGGATATCACGTTATAATGATTACTAATGAGGGGGCCTGTTCGATGTGGAGTGATGTCACCTGCTGATGATTATGAATGAGGTGGGGGCATATGGAGGACGTAACCTGTTCATTAATATTAATGAGGGGGGCTAGTCGATGTGGAGTGACGTCACGAGCGTGAAGGACACACATTCCTGGGTGATTATAGTAGGTTTACTATTCCTTATGTATAAATTGTCTTTATCAATAATGTAACTACAATGTTACATGGCATTGTCTTGGTAACTGATGGCCTACACCAGAGACAGCTGGCTTCTTTAGGGCCTAGTCTCACTACCAGTGTCTCACTGCCAGTGTCAGAAGACCAGTAAAATATATTGTCACTTATGTATACATTGACTTTTATAATAATGTAACTACAATGTTACAAGGCATTGTCTCTGTAACTGATTGGCCTACACCAAAGGCAGCAGACTTATTTAGGGCCTAGTCTCACCACCAGCAGTGTTAGACCAGAGAGCGACGCCAAAAGGCGACCAGTACAAGGACCATGCCACACGTCTCAGGGCATTGACAGCTCGGGGAAATCAGCTACACAATGGTCTCACGTCACAGCCCTGATTGCCTCGTTCTAAATCAATGGGGAAAAACAAATTCACGGTTTGCTAAGTGTGCCTCTTTACACGCGGTTCCTGAAGAATGCAGCCAATTCGTGTTTATATAGTGAAGTCTCACCGTCTATGTATACAGTGAGGTCGCACTATAAACACACAGTAATGTCTGACTATATATACAGTAATGTCACAGAGTGTATATGTGTGTGTGTCTATACAGTAATGTAACAGTGTCCGTGGTGGGGGTCAGGTTCTGTGTGTCCCCTCATAAACACAAATTTGCGTAATTTGGGGTTCACCTACACGAGAGTAGATACACTTTGTGTACACTTTTATATACTACTGTAGACTATATATACAATATATTAATATATACTACTACATTACTATATAATACTATGTAACTATATACTACTATATTACAATATACTACTATATTACTATATGCTACTATATTAATAAATATTACTATATCACTATACTACTAAATGCTACTATATTACTATACTACTGTTTTACTCTATGATTGTATTACTTTACTACAATATCTCTATACTACTATGTTACTATAGTACCACATTACTATACGAGTGCACTGTGCTGTATATTAACAATAGGAAAGATTCTATAGCTGGGTGGACTCGTGTCTTGCGTGGGTGATATGGGTACAAGTGTAAGTACGAATCGGCGGTGGTCGGTCGCGGTACGAGTGGGAACCGCGTACGTTGAGCCCCCAGCGTGCACTCTGAGACCTTGCTGTACGTATCGAGGGGGTGGATACCCATCATTTATTTCTTAATTCTCTCGACGTAATCGTTGATCTTCGCCATTCCGACCAGGTGCAACTTCAAAATGTCGTACGTCCCTTGCCAGTGCGCTTCTATCTTTGACGGGTTTTTCTTGTGCAAATTGACCCCGGCCCGGATCAGGTTCGCGACGTCCACGACCAGGAACAGGGAGCTTAAAGCAACCGCGGCCATCCGCATGCCGCCTGTCGCCACTCCCTTAGCCACCGCAAATCCAACATCGTCGGCCGCGTTGGCGGCGCCCGCCCCGGCCACTTTCACCAACGCCTTTGAGTTTTTGACGATGTCCACCGCCGCATTCTTTGCGCTGCGTGCCACCATTATTCCACCCACGGTGACCGTGGCTGTCTCTACGATGCCCGGGTGGGCTGTGCCACCTTCGCCTCCTTTGGCGGTCACCCTCTCGGACACCAGCGTGCCCATGGTGACAACGTCGAGCTCGCTGGCCGCCGAGTAAACCGACCGCACCACTTCGGCGAGCCTCGCGCCGGCAATTTTATCCTTCTCGATATTTTCTGTCGCCTCTTTGGTCGAGGCTTTGTTCATCACCAGCACGGCGATCGAAGCCCCCGCGGCCGTGATGCCCCCGGCAACCCCCGTGGTCGTGCCGGCGATGCTGAGGCCCAGAGATAAGCCGGCGGTCACCGGGGCGAGGGCAAAGCCGGCGATGACCATGGCACCGCCGATGATGCCCGCGGAAGCGCCGGTCGCTTTGGAGATGTTGCCGTCTCGCTTCCTCTTCTTCAGCTGAACGATCATGCCGGCGAGCATCTTCAAGACCTCAATCCTCTTCGTCTTCCATTCGGGAAATATCTCCGCGAGTTCTCTGCGCGCTCGCGACTGTTAGCGGTAAATGACGACGAAGGCGACGACAAAAGGTGAAGGGTAGATGGGTAAGCAAGTTAATTGAAATATGACAGAGGCATGAAGACAACCAATCACATAAAGTAGTCACCCTTTTCAGAGTACCCTTCGAAATGTATTCATCCACTATGCATGGTGCGTGAGTCTATGAATGTGCGTCTATGTCCAGGAAAAACACCACAGACCTCCTCGGTGGTGCCGGAAGGTCCCCCTGTGGCGGATGTGAGCAATGGCATGTGGAGGGAAGGCCAATTCCAAAATCGGCTGTACCCCTTCATGGCTCTTGCAGACACCAGAGGCCAAATAGGGGATCCAGATGGGTGCGAGGGGCTGGTTATCCCTCTACATTCAATTTAATTACCACCAGCTTCACGTCCTCTGTTTGTTGTTACACCACCCTCCCACTTCTAGCCCCGCCCACTCCCTTCCCACTTCTAGCCCCGCCCACTTCCCCCCCCCAGCCTCACGTCCTCTTCCCCTAGCACTCACGCAGCCACCCCTCCCCCTACCCCCCCCTCTCTCCCCCCTTGCCTTCTCCCCCCTCTCTGACCTTTATAACCTCTTGCCACGACAGCTCTCCCGCCGACTTCAGCATTTTGTTGCTGTGGTTGTCCCACCTGATGAAGATCGCTCGTGTTGCGTTCGAAACGTCGTGATTTATTTTATTTTATTTCTACCTATGTAACTTTACCGAAAGGACCAACGAGCATCATGGATACATGCTATAATGTTGACACCAGGACCTAACGTTGAGCTAATCTGCCCACTGACCATCGACTTGCCATCTATATGATGCACTTGCCATTCTTCCACTCTGGTGGTGGGAGTACACCCAGGACCCCATGCAAACCGAGAGCGGCCTGGTCTCAGCTAGCTGATGAAAGTTGGAAGCGAGAATTTAATCATCGCTTGCAGCTGGGGTTGGAATCGTCTCCCACTCGTCCTGATGCCGAGAGGAAATGGGCGACGTTTAGGACTGTTGGCTCATGCAGCTGTAATGGCTGCTTTAGGTACACGGTCCAAAACTTCTCCAGACACCATGGCTGATGGAGGAGGTGTTCCGGCTGGATGAGAAAAAGCGACAGGCCCACTCACACCATCTACAGCATGCCACGTCAGAGAATGAGGAGGCTTACAACAGCTTTCGCTCGGAGGTTCTGAGAGCTGTGAGGCGCTGGAAGGATGGGTGGTGGAGGGAAAAACCGGAGTACCCGAAGAAAAATCAATCCGGGGACAGAAAAGAGAGATGCAGACTCCAAACGCACCACGGGCATCGTCACGGTCGGAATCGAACCCCTGACCTCCCACGTACCAGGAGGAAGTTGTGACCACTCACCCATTCCTCACTACCGCCCTGCGTGGGTGGGGACGATTGTGGTGAGGATGCTTTTCCCTCATCCGTTGCTCCTCCTTCATTTGCTGCCCGTTGTTTTCCATCAAGTTTCTCAGACACGAGCTTCTCCCTCGCTGGCTCCGCCGGAGTCTCCAGTGTCGTATCCTTCCTCAGCGTGGGTTTGCTCTTCCATCGCTGCTCACACTTAGCTTGTGGGCAGAGGAATTCCGTCTGCGTCGATTCCAACTCCCAGTGGACCTCGATGCAGACCTCGCAGAAGCTGTGGCAGCACGGCAGCCTCATTGGATTGGTAAATAAACACTCACAAATCTGGCAGGTGAGTTCATCTGGCTTTGACTGATCTGTCAAAGAAAACACACACACACCACCACCACCAAGAAAATTGGCGATGATAGGGTCAATATTTATATATATATATCTGCCCATAGACTCACAAAATATCACAGACTCAGCACTGCTACCATAAACTCAGCACTGCTTCCCATAGACCCAACACTGCCCATAGACTCAACACTGCCCATAGACTCAATACTGATACCCATAGAATCAACACAACCCATAGACTCAACACTGCCCATAGACTCAACACTACTCATAGACTCAACACTGCCCATAGACTCAACACTGCCCATAGACTCAACACCACCCATAGACTCAACACCGCCCATAGACTCAACACTGCCCATAGACTCAACACCACCCATAGACTCAACACTAGACATAGACTGTAGTTTGTAGTTCACCTTTGCTCTGTTCTGAGCTCATGTCGTTGCCGTGCTTCTTACAATTGCAGCCACGAGCGATGTCCTTCCTGTGGAGAGTCCTGTGAGAAACACGGTGGGTTAGTGAGCTTGCGTAGTGTATAGTGTAGTGTATATTAGTGTAGTGTATAGTTGTGTATAGTTTCGTATATTCGTGGATTATTGTACTACAATACACTACACTGCAATTCACTACTATACACTAAATTACAATTTACTACTCTACACAGCATTATTATTCACTACTATATACTACAATACTATTCACTACTATTCACTACACTACTATACACTATAGAGGACATTTTACACTACTGTACACTACACTACTATACACTACACTATTATTCATTGCACGACTATACACTACACTACTATACACTACACTACTATACACTACACTATACACTACACTACTATACACTACACTATACACTACACTACTATACACTACACTACTATACACTACACTACACTATACACTACACTACTATACACTACACTACTATACACTACACTATACACTACACTACTATACACTACTATACATTACACTACTAGACATTACACTACTATACACTACACTACTATACACTACACTACTATACACTACACTACTATACACTACACTACTATACACCACACTACTATACACTACACTACTACACACTACATTACTATACACTACACTACTATACACAACTATACACTACACTACTATACACTACACTACTATACACTACACTATACACTACACTACTATACACTACTATACACTACACTATACACTACACTACTATACACTACTATACACTATACTACTATACACTACACTACTATACACTACACTATACACTACACTACTATACACTACACTACTATACACTACACTACTATACATTACACTACTATACACTACACTACTATACACTACACTACTATACACTACACTATACACTACACTACTATACTATACACTACTATACTATACACTACACTACTATACACTACACTATACACTACACTACTATACACTACACTACTATACATTACACTACTATACACTACACTACTATACACTACACTACTATACACTACACTACTATACACTACACTATACACTACACTATACACTACACTACTATACACTACACTACTATACACTACACTACTATACACTACACTACTATACACTACACTACTATACACTACACTACTATACACTACACTACTATACACTGCACTACTATACACTACACTATACACTACACTACTATACACTACACTACTATACATTACACTACTATACACTACACTACTATACACTACACTACTATACATTACACTACTATACACTACACTATACACTACACTATACACTACACTACTATACACTACACTACTATACACTACTATACTCTACACTACTATACACTACACTACTATACACTACACTACTATACACTACACTATACACTACACTATACACTACACTACTATACACTACACTACTATACACTACTATACACTACACTACTATACACTACACTACTATACACTACACTACTATACACTACACTACTATACACTACTATACTCTACACTACACTATACACTACACTACTATACACTACACTACTATACACTACACTATACACTACACTATACACTACACTACTATACCCTACACTACTATACACTACACTACTATACACTACTATACACTACACTACTATACCCTACACTACTATACACTCCACTGATATACAATACATTTGTAGCGTCGGATCGCGTGCGCACAAGTGTAGCGCTGTAGATGGGCTGCACTTACCTGCAACGGCAGACAGGGCCCATCAGGGGCGGTACCTCGAGCCGCCGGGGGGGGTCGCTACATTCCCCAGCCCAAAAGCAGGAGGGGGCTGCGGGGTGTTCTGGGATCCCCCGCGACCCCCCCCCCCCCCTCCTTTAACTCTCGAGAAGAGAGGCGTGGCCAGAGGCTGACACACCGGGGAGGTGTATAAAAGCCGGACCTCTCCAGAGGTTCGAGGCAGTGCTACGAAGACTGGAGAGCAGCTAGACTAGGGCCCTGGGACCTCAAGCCCGCTGCCCTTGTAAGGGCCGGGTCGAGCTTGGAACGGTGGTCGGGACCCGTACCTTGGCTGGGTCGGGTCAGGATAGCCTCCCCTAGGACATGGATAGCCGGAGGGCTGGGAGTGAACAGGGCAGTGTGTAGGTCACGATATCCCGGAGGCCATACCTCCCTAGATAGGGGGGGGTTAAAGGAGTTACTGATTGTTATAAAGAAACATATCGTGTTGCCTCTACAACAACGTCTCCGTCTCCATAACATAACTCATTACACATTATACACTACTATACACTAAATCTTGATTTGAAGCTTTCGTGACTGCAGGAATCCATACACTACACTACTATACACTACACTACGATAAACTACACTGTACACAACACTTGACACTACACTATACACTACACTATACACTAGCGCTGTACTAGTGACGAATTGCCACGTTCTGTTTACGTGACACAACCCTTACTAGTTGGCTGTGTCAGGTAGTGGTGGGTTTTAACGACGCAACATTTATGTATTTACGTGGCGATCTAACCCAAAAACCTCTACTATGGATGATATTGTGAGTGTTAGTCTATGGGCAGTGTTGCGTCTATATGATCAGTGTTGAGTCGAAGGGTATTGAGAATAGCTTTTCCCCTTTTTTCTGGCAACAAAGCAGGTGTTAAGATCACGTAGAAAAAAATATATAATACGACGTTTCGATTGCAAAACAAGCAATCATCATCAGGTAAGAATAAATGAGAAAAAACAAACCTAGTACACTTAGAAATAAAATGCAATACAACACAGAGAGTCGGCTAACACAACAGTCAACACCCTACCTGGTTGATTACGTTCTTCTAAGTTTGTAAGTTTACTAGGTTTTTTTCTCTTTCATTTGCATCTGATGATGATTGCTTGTGTTGCAATCGAAACGTATTCTATTATTTAATTTTCTTTCTACGTGGCTTTTACCGAAAGAACCAAAGAGTAATTCCTGCAGTTACGATAGCTCCAAATCAAGTGTAAGGTGTTAAGATGTTAAAACACCAAACTGAAACCTTTGACAAGGAATCATGTCTGCATTAACCACAATACTTGTGGTCAGAATGAAAACAGAGCATGGTTTTTGTTTGCATTATTACCACAAGTATGGTGGTTAATGCAGACATGATTCCTTGTCAAAGGTTTCAGTTTGGTGTTTTAACATCTTAACACAGCTGTTCTGTTGCCAGAAAAAAAGGGGAAAACCTCATCTCATATTTTGGTACTGACAAAGGTGGTCCCATGTCGAAGGTTTAGTGTTGAGTCTATGGGCAGTGTTGAGTCTATGGGTAGTGTTGAGTCTATGGGCAGTGTTGAGTCTATGGGCAGTGTTGAGTCTATGGGCAGTGTTGAGTCTATGGGCAGTGTTAGTCTATGGGTGGTGTTGAGTCTATGGGTAGTGTTGAGTCTATGGGTAGTGTTGAGTCTATGGGCAGTTTTGAGTCTATGGGCAGTGTTGAGTCTATGGTTAGTGTTGAGTCTATGGGCAGTGTTGAGTCTATGGGTAGTGTTGAGTCTATGGGCAGTGTTGAGTCGATGGGTAGTGTTGAGGCTATGGGCAGTGTTAAGGGTGTGGGCAGTGTTGAGTCTATGGGTGGTGTTGAGTCTATGGGTAGTGTTGAGTCTATGGGCAGTGATAGTCGTGGACGATCATATCAGACGATTTGATTGCCATAGATGCATTTTGTGCGAGGATTAGAATCACGTTCGTCAGAGCAGATAAATCACAGAAAAGTGTCTAGCGGAGTGTGTGCAGTGAGAATTCAACACGGACATATCCATAGAGCAATCACAGTTATTCATGCAACGTCTGGCGAGCGAAAGTTACTTTAGTGTATCGTGATGACAACGTATCCATGATTGATTGTTTTGTTTTTGGGTTAGATGTTTGACACGATCTAACAAACCCTCTAGTTATGAGTATGGGTCACGAGCTCCTGCTGTGTTGAAACGCTAAAGCGTATTCTTGTGAAGGTGTAGAACGAGCAGGCGTTTAAAAGTGCTTACCCACTTTCTCCTCGCGATTCCAATGGGCTGTGGTGGTTGCAATGTGAAGAGCGAGCGGTATTTATGCGTTGCCTGGCTGGTTTCGACTTGAACTGTGGCGCAAATATCCGAACTTGAACAAAGGGAATGCCTTTGTGTGTGTGTGAAGGATAAGTCAAAGTCACAGTGTGTTTGTGTGCCTTTGTGCAAGTGTGTGAAGGATAAGACATAGACACACACACACCTGTGTATGTGTGTGTCTCTGTGTTTCTGTCACAGACAACACAAACACACACACGTACAGGTGTGTGTGTGTCTTTGTGGGGAGCGGTGGTGTAGCGGTTAGCGCGCTGCGCTACGAACCCAGCGACCAAGGTTCGATTCCCGCTCACGGCCAACACCGGTGACGATTATCTGTACCGGTCCTGGGCCTTCCCTAGATCGACTCAGCCTTAAATGAGTACCTGGTGCGGTGTGTAACCATCGCCACTAGGGAGACAAAGGCGGCCGGGCGTGGTGTTGGCCACCCACCCCTCGCGTGCCGTGCCGGCCTTCATAGGTGCTGCTCGCTAACAGCACTTGCCCCTACAGTCTGTTACAGGCTACACGGGGGAGCTTTGTCTTTGATCTTTTTGCGTCTGTGAAGGATAAGACACACACATACACTGGTGACGTGGGATGCTGTAGACGATGAAAGTGGGACTGTCGCTTTTTCTCAGGCAGCCTGAACACCTCCTCTCTCAGCCAGGGTCTCTTGGGAGGTCTGGACCGTGTATCCAACGCAGCCATTGCAGCTGCATGAGCCACAGTCCTAAACCTCGACATCAGGAGGAGTGGGGGACGATACCAACCCCAGCTCTAAGCGATAATTGTGTACACAGACACGAGTACACAGACACACAGGCACGTGTACACCCACACACTCACTCAGACCAAACGTGTGAATCCACAACAACAACATCAACACTCTCTCCACAACTGCCCCATCACCAATTGGGAGTTGTGGGGGTGGAGTGTTCGATGGTACAAAATACCCAGGCAGGTGCTTAGTTTTGGTGGGGCTGATGGTAAGGCCCCACCTCTTAGTGACAAGCTGAAAGAGGTGGGGGATTACCATCAGATCAACACACACACACAACAACAACGGCTATTCTCCACTAAGTGGCGGTAACGTCACCACGACGCTCGTGCCAGGCTATGTGCACGTTGAGGCCACGTGAAATGAGCGCGCTGGCAGGAGGTCACGGGGCAGACCCAGGTGCCACGGGTTGACTGAGTGAGATGATGACTGGCTGATGTGTTCACACACGCGAGTTCAAACACCCACACACAGACACGTGTACAACCACCCACACACGTGTACACGTGTGCACACCAACACACGTGTACACGTCTACACGTGTACACCCACAAACGTGTACACGTGTGTGTGTGTACACCCACACACGTGTACACCCACACACGTGTACACGTGTACACCCACACACGTAAAAAAATTGTATAATTCCACGTAGTGTGTTTAAAAAGCAACAAATGTCTAGGCAAGAGGTCAGGCAGCCCAACAAACGGACGAGATGATTGGACAGAGGCTTTTATTGATTAATAAACCACGATTAGTATTCGCGATAAGCGGTGTACGTACTTTCACACGGAGTGTCACAGCTTAGAGGTCATAATATTGGGCAAACGTTGAGTGCCCGTAGTGAAATGTTAACTACATCTCAAAGCTCCGGGTCTCCTTGGCCACGGTCATTCCCTCCCTTCTCTATGTTTGCGAAACGTGGACCCCCCTAATGGAACATTTTCGCCGGTTAGAAACATTCAGGCTGGCCCTGCCTACGATTTATCCTGGGTTTAACCTGCAGGCTGGATTGTGTAAGGATGTCACAAATCGTTTAAAGATTTGGACACATTCCTATCAGTGAGCTCTTCCGGCAAGCAAGACAGCGTTGGCTGGGTCATGTAGCCCGCATGGCCAGCCACCGCATACCTAAACAATTATGTTCGGCCGGATAGAGGGAGCTATACGGGCACGGTACGGGCTAGAGAAGAGATGGAGTGATGTGGTACAAGATGATGTGAAAGTGAGTGGACTTGTGCATGTCTTTGTGTGTGTCTTTGTGTGTCTTTGTCTTTGCGTGTCTTTGTGTGTGTGAGTTTGTCTTTGTGTGTGTGTCTTTATGCTTGTGTGTCTTTGTGTGTGTCTTTGTGTGTTTGTCTCTGTGAGTCTTTGTCTTTGTGTGTATGTATGTGTGCCTTTGTGCGTATTAGTGTGTCTTTGTGTGTCTTTGCGTGTCTTTGCATGTGTAAGTTTGTCTTTGCGTATGTGTGTCTTTACGCTTGTGTGTCTTTGTGTGTGTTAGTGTGTCTTTGTGTGTAAGTGTGTGTGCCTTTGTGCGTGTTAGTGTGTCTTTGTGTGTGTGAGTCTTTGTCTTTGTGTATGTGTGTGCGTGTTAGTGTGTCTTTGTGTGTGTATATGTGTATCTGTGTGCGTGTTAGTGTGTGAGCTCCTCCGGCAGGCAAGGCTGCGTTGGCTGGGTCATGTAGCCCGCATGCCAAGCCAACGCATGCCGAAACAGCTTTTGTTCGGCCGGATCGAGGGGGAAAAACAGGCGCGGCACGGCTAGAGAAGAGATGGAGTGATGTGGTACAGGAGGACGTGGAGTTGAGTGGACTTGCCGATGACTGGCACCAGCGGTGTCAAGATCGGCCTCTGTGGAGGAGGCTCGTGAAGGACGCTACTGGGCAGTTGGAGGCAGTCGCCCTCCAACAACAACAGAGGGCGGAGGAGCGACGCTCACAACAAAGAGCGGAGCGTCGGGTGGCTAAAACACAGCAGGTTGGCACAGTAGGGGGCACACGTGGTGCATCAGCCAGTCATCTCAGTCAGTCGACCCGTGGCACCTGGGTCTGCCCCGTGACCTCCTGCAAGCGGGCGTTCGACACTTCACGTGGCCTCAAGGTGCACATGGCCTGGCACAAGCGTCGTGGTGACGTCACCGCCACTTAGTGGCGAATGGCGGTTGTTGTTGTTGCATGTTAGTGTGTCTTTGTGTGTGTGTGTGAAAGGTACTGGCAAGGATTATTCAACATCGCCTTGCCAGGCACGCTGAGGAGAAGCTTGCGGAGCCCCAATGTGGTTTCAGGAAAGGGCGGTCCTGCACAGATGCCATATTTTCTGTCCGTTTGCTACAGCAGAGGTGTAGGGAATTCCAGCAAGACCTACATCTCTGCTTTATTGACCTGGTCAAGGCCTATGATACCATCAGTAGGCCTGGGCTCTGGGTTGTTCTTCGTGCTTTTGGAGTACCTGACCCTCTGCTCACGATCATTAAGGACCTTCATGATGGTGAGCGGGCCCGGGTAAAACTACGTGGCCGGGAGTCAGAGCCATTCCCTGTACACCTTGGGGTGCGACAGGGATGTCCTCTGGCTCCCACATTGTTTAACATCTATTTTGACCACGTAGTTCGTGAAGCCTTCAGTAGCTGTACCGGGGGAATCTCCATTTGGTACAGATATAATGGGAGGCTGATCGATGCCGGGGTGCGGTCAAGAGATGGTTCCCTATTGCTCAACCACGTTATGTATGCCGATGATTTGGTAATAGCTGCTCATTCAGAGGAGGAGTTGGAGACGCTGCTGCTGAGACTGGAGCGTGCCACTAAGAGATGGGGCCTTACCATCAGCCCCACCAAAACTAAGCACCTGCCTGGGTATTTTGTACCATCGGACACTCCACCCCCACAACTCCCAATCGGTGATGGGGCAGTTGTGGAGAGAGTGGAGCGTTTCCCATACCTGGGCAGTGTGCTTATGACCGGCTCCAGTTTAACAGCAGAAGTCTCACTCCGAATCAGTCGAGCAGCAATATCTGTTCATCGGTTGCGTAACGCTGTGTGGAAGCTACCTGGTCTGTCGCTCCGCACTAAGCTTCAGGTCTTCTCGGCCACGGTCATTCCCTCCCTTCTCTACGCTTGCGAAACGTGGACCCCCCTAATGGAATATCTTCGCCGGTTAGAAGCATTTAGGCTAGTCTGCCTACGATCCATCCTGGGTTTTACCAGGCTGGATTGTGTGAGGAGCTCACAAATCTTTGAAAGATCTGGGCAAGGTCCCATCGGTGAGCTCCTCCGGCAGGCAAGGCTGCGTTGGCTGGGTCATGTAGCCCGCATGCCCAGCCACCGCATGCCGAAACAGATTTTGTTCGGCCGGATCGAGGGGGCTAAACGGGCGCGGCACGGGCTAGAGAAGAGATGGAGTGATGTGGTACAGGAGGACGTGGAGCTGAGTGGACTTGCCGATGACTGGTACCAGCGGTGACAAGATCGGCCTCTGTGGAGGAGGCTCGTGAAGGACGCTACTGGGCAGTTGGAGGGCGACTACCTCCAACAACAACGGAGGGCGGAGGAGCGACGCTCACAACAACGAGCGGAGCGCCGGGTGGCTAAAGCACAGCAGGTTGGCACAGGAGGGGGCACAGGTGGTGCATCAGCCAGTCATCTCAGTCATCTTAGTCAGTCGACCCGTGGCATCTGGGTCTGCCCCGTGACCTCCTGCCCGCGGGCGATCGACACTTCACGTGGCCTCAAAGTGCACATGGCCTGGCACAAGCGTCGTGGTGACGTCACCGCCACTTAGTGGCGAATGGCGGTTGTTGTGTGTGGGGGGAGCGGTAGTGTAGTGGTTAGCGCGTCGGTTGACCACGTGGCCCACGCGCGTCGGTTGACCACGTGGCCCACGCGCGACGGTTGACCACGTGGGCCAAGCGCGTCGGTGGCTATAAAACTGCGAGAGGTTCCAGCGAGAGAGGAGGGAGGAGGATTGGAGACTGACGTCGATTCTCTGTCAAGAGTTGAGCCCCTTGTGGTGAGTGGTGAGCGAGTGCTGAGTGGTGTGAGTGGTGAGTGGTGTGCGAGATGATTGTGAGGTGTGAGTGGTGAGTTATGAGAGGTGAGCGAGTGGTGAGCGAGAGTGGTGAGCGAGAGTGGTGAGTGGTGTGCGAGATGATTGTGAGTGGTGAATGAGTGGTGAGTGTGAGTGGTGAGTGAGTGGTGAGTGATGAGTGTGAGTTGTGAGTGGTGAGTGGTGTGAGTTGTGAGTAGTGAGTGATGAGTAGTGAGCGGCGAGTTGTGAGTGATGAGTGAGTGGTGAGTGAGTGGTGAGTGATGAGTTGTGAGTTGTGAGTAGTGAGTGGTGAGTAGTGAGTGTGAGTTGTGAGTAGTGAGTGTGAGAAGTGAGTTGTGAGTGGTGAGTTGAGTGATGATTGTGAGAGGTGGGTGGTTAGTGTTGAATGGTGAGTTCTGAGTGGTGAGTTCTGAGTGGTGAGTGTTGAGTTGTGAGTGGTGAGTTGTGAGTGGTGAGTTGTGAGTGGTGAATTCTGAGTGGTGAGTTGTGAGAGGTGAGTTGTGAGTGGTGAGTTGTGAGTGATGAGTTGTGAGTGGTAAGTGTGCATTTTGAGTGTGAGTAGTGAGTGGTGAGTTCTGAGTGGTGAGTTCTGAGTGGTGAGAGGTGAGTGGTGTGAGAGGTGAGTTGTAGGTGGTGTCAGTTGTGAGTAGTGAGTGGTGAGTTGTGAGTGATGAGTTGTGAGAGGTGAGTGTGAATTGTGAGAGGTGTGAATTGTGAGTGGTGAGTGTGAGTGGTGAGTTGTGAGAGGTGAGTGATGAGTTGTGAGAGGTGAGTGTGAATTGTGAGTGGTGGGAGAGGTGAGTTTTGAGTTGTAAGTGGTGAGTTGTAAGTGATGAGTTGTGAGTGGTGAGTGTGAGAAGTGAGTTCTGAGTGGTGAGTTCTGAGTGGTGAGTGTTGAGTTGTGAGTGGTGAGTGATTATCGCCAAAGTAAATGTTCGAATTATTGTTGTTTTCTTGATATAAACGAATTACATATAAGTACATGCTCACAACGGCGTCACGATTTGCACCGCTGTGCCTTTGCTGTTCACATCGTTGCAGCCTTGCAGCCTCTGGGTGTCTTAGAGGGCCGCATGAAGCTCTAAGTGCGGTGCCTGATGCATTTGTTGCTATAAAGGGGCCTTACATTTAAATAAAAATCACACTTAAATATTAAAACACAAATTGTTTAACTTTGATAGTGAATTAATTGTATTTGCTCATTTGATATACAGCTTAAAACGTTCGCGACTGCAGGAATTAATATTCTTGTTTTATTTTTTCGGTAAAGTCACGTAGATATCAAATACAATTAAAGTCATTTTTTGTTAAAATAAAAATGTATATCCACGCGACTTTACCGAAAGAACCGAGAATATAATTTGATATACAGCCGGATAATGCGTCAACTCGCTCACCTTATACACCCCAAGTAGTTCGTACAAGTCGCAAGTGGATGTAGCGCAAGTGAAACATTCACGCGTTTTAATGTTTTTGTTTAAAAAAATTAAATTTAGATTCAGGGGCCCCTTCAGAACGACGAAGGCATTGAGCATCAAACACCGCCAGAGGTGTGAGGTGGGTGGGGGTGTGAGGTGGGGGGGGGTGTGAGGTGGGGGGGTGTGAGGTGGGTGGGGGGTGTGAGGTGGGGGGGTGTGAGGTGGGTGGGGGGGGTTCTTTGGAGCGCAGCTTGTAACGCGACAGTCCCAGCCACTGGCATCTCTCGACCTCAGCACAGCGACTCTCGTCAGTGCTCAAACCTTTGCCGTCTTCGAGTGCTTGAATTCTTTTTTCCGACGCCAGATATTTTCCCGGCCGATGATTACCCGACCCAGCGGTCTGCTCCCTCTTTTGGGCATCGCGACGTCCGCTGACGCGAATCTGTCCGTCAAGAACCATCGCGCGCGCAGGTCCAAGCGGAGCCTCGCGGGTGGCCGACGCGTCGCTCGTCGCTCGCGCGTCCCGCGACGAGCGGGTCGAGAGAGGAGAGAACGCCGTACCCGCTGGCCGTGCACGCGTGCGGGGGACAAGGACGAGGCCCGGCTCGACCGACGGAACGTCCGCGCAGCACGGCGGCCCGTTAGGATCTCACAGCGAGTTCGTCTTCCAGCCCGGCGAGCTCTTCTCGTCGCTGTCGCTGTGGGGCAACGGCGCCGGCACGCGCCTGGGCGCCATCAAGTTCAAGACCAGCAAGGGGCGGGAATTCTTCGTGAAGATGACCGACTGGGGGCTGAAGACGGAGTACCCCATCGACATCGGCTCGGGGATCTGCCTCGGCATTGTGGGCAAGGGCGGCTCGGACATCGACTGCATGGGCTTCGTGTTCATCAATTCGGTGAAGCGGTCCGAGTTGATCAACGTGACGTACCCGACGCTGCACCGGGAGCTCCCGAAGGTCCAGATGGAGGAGATCAAGTCCATCAGCTACAAGAACCGGGGCTCCGTCCCGCAGACCTACAAGGTGGAGACCTCCAAGACGGTGACCAAGACCTCGTCGTGGTCGATCGCGAACAAGCTCGAGGCGACCGTCAGCATCAGCGTCACGGCCGGCATCCCCGACGTCGTCGAGGTGTCGAGCGGCTTCAGCTTCACGGTGGGCACCGAGAGCACCCGCGGCGTTGAGAACTCCGAGTCGAAGACCGAGCTCCTCTCGTTCGACGTCACCGTGCCCCCGGGCAAGACGGTGGCCATCGACCTACAAGGGCACGGTACGCGTGACCCTGTTGAACGGCGCCACCTTCGACATCCCCATGGAGGGCGTCTACAAGGGCCTCGCGTACACCAAGGCGACGGCCGAGACGCGGGAGAAGTGACGAGGACCGGCGCCCGCCCCCCCCACCCCGCGCTTCTTCGGCGCTTCTTCGGCGTTTCTTCGGCGCTTCTTCGGCGCTTCTTCGGCGCTTCTTCGGCGCTTCTTCGGCGCTTCTTCCGCGCTTCTTCCGCGCTTCTTCGGCGCTTCGTCCGTGCTTCTTCGGCGCTTCTTCGGCGCTCCTTCCGCGCTTCGCCGCCGCCGCCTACCTGTTCCCTGCGAAGGCCGAGCGTCGAAGTTGAAACGTCGCGAGAATTTTATTCTTTTATATTTCTATTATTTTATTGTTTCCCTTCTACGTGGTGACTTTGGCGAAAGAACCAAGAATATGAATCCCTGCAGTCGCGAAAGCTTTAAATCAAAATGTAACACTGCTACAACATCAGAGTGCGGAGCCACGTGAAATACGCACTACGCTGACAATAGTTTAAAGCCATTTGAAGCATTTTTTATTTTCAAAATGGAAATATGGTTTTGGGGGGGGAGGGGAGGGTGGGGGGGAGGGGCAGAGCTTTGTGACGTCATATTTGACGGGTGGGGGTCCGACTTTCTGTGACGTCGTGTGACGAGGGGGGTCAAAAATCGCGTGACGTCATTTATGGACGATCCGTTTCCGAGGAAAGCGCTCGCACGGCGCGCTTCACGGACGTCGATGACCGTACGAGAAACCCACTCGGCGATGGATCGCCACGGTCATTTATTGGCATTAATCCCCTCCCAACTCGCCTAAAGAAGCGCTCACAAGTGGTGCCATCACGTTTAGTGGGTGAGTGGGTGAGTGAGTGGGTGGGTGAGTGGGTGGGTGGGTGGGTGAGTGGGTGAGTGAGTGGGTGGGTGAGTGGGTGAGTGAGTGGGTGGGTGAGTGGGTGGGTGGATGAGTGGGTGGGTGGGTGAGTGGGTGGGTGAGTGGGTGGGTGGGTGAGTGAGTGGGTGAGTGGGTGGGTGGGTGAGTGAGTGGGTGGGTGAGTGGGTGGGTGGGTGAGTGGGTGGGTGGGTGAGTGAGTGGGTGGGTGAGTGGGTGGGTGGATGAGTGGGTGGGTGAGTGAGTGGGTGGGTGAGTGAGTCAGTGAGTGAGTGGGTGGGTGAAAGAAACATTCTGTATAATAATAATTAAATATATTTTACAACTTGGCCCAAGTTTTATTTTTAAAATTTAAACTCGCCAAGTTGATATTCGCCAACGCGAGGAGTTCCACACGAACGACCACCACCACCATCATCAGTAGCAGCAGTAGCTTCTGTTTGGCCGCATAGAGGGGGCTAAACGGGGACGACATTGGCTGCAAAAGAGATGGAGCCGATGGGTCCACTGCCCATAGACTCAACACTACCCATATACTCAACACTACCCATAGACTCATCACTACCCATAGACTCATCACTGCCCATATACTCAACACTACCCATAGACTCAGCAGTACTCATAGACTCAACACTGCCCATATACTCAACACTGCCCAAAGACTCAACACTACCCATAGACTCAGCACTACCCATAGACTCAGCACTACCCATAGACTCAACACTGCCCATAGACTCATCACTACCCATAGACTCACACTGCCCATAGACTCAACACTGCCCATAGACTCGACACTACCCATAGACTCGACACTGTCCATAGACTCGACACTGTCCATAGACTCATCACTACCATAGACTCAACACTGCCCATAGACTCAACACTGCCCATAGACTCAACACTACCATAGACTCAACACTGCCCATAGACTCAACACTGCCCATAGACTCAACACTGCCCATAGACTCATCGCTACCCATAGACTCATCGCTACCCATAGACTCACACTGCCCATAGATTCGACAATGCCCATAGACTCAACACTGCCCATAGACTCATCACTACCCATAGACTCACACTGCCCATAGACTCAACACTACCATAGACTCAACACTGCCCATAGACTCAACACTACCCATAGATTCAACACTGCCCATAGACTCACACTACCCATAGACTCAACACCACCCATAGACTCAACACCGCCCATAGACTTAACACTGCCCATAGACTCAACACTGCCCATAGACTCAACACTGCCCATAGACTCATCACTGCCCATAGACTCAACATTGCCCATAGACTCAACACTACCATAGACTCACACTGCCCATAGACTCACACTGCCCATAGACTCAACACTACCCACAGATTCAACACTGCCCATAGAATAACACTACCCATAGACTAACAAACACTACCCATAGATTCAACACTGCCCATAGAATAACACTGCCCATAGAATAACACTACCCATAGATTAACAAACACTACCCATAGATTCAACACTGCCCATAGAATAACACTGCCCATAGACTAACACTGACAATAGAATAACACTGCCCATAGAATCAACACTGCCCATAGAATCAACACTACCCATAGACTCAACACTGCCCATAGAATCAACACTGCCCATAGACTCAACATTGCCCATAGACTCAACACTGCCCATAGACTCAACACTGCTCATAGAATCAACACTGCCCATAGAATCAACACTACCTATATAGATTCAACACTGCCCATAAACTAACACTGCCCATAAACCAACACTGCCCACATAGATTGATCACACAGCTGCGATGTTGATCACACAGCCTTGATGACGATCACACAGCGGTGATGACGATCACACAGCGGTGATGACGATCACACGGCGGTGATGACGATGATCACACGGCGGTGATGACAATCACACGGCGGTGATGACGATCACACGGCGGTGATGACGACGATCACACGGCCGTGATGACGACGATCACACGGCCGTGATGACAACGATCACACGGCCGTGATGACGACAATCACACGGCGGTGATGACGACGATCACACGGCCGTGATAACGACGATCACACGGCCGTGATGATCACGATCACACGGCCGTGATGATCACAATCACACGGCCGTGATGATGACGATCACACGGCCGTGGTGATGACGATCACACGGCCGTGATGATGACGATCACACGGCCGTGATGATGACGATCACACGGCCGTGATGATGACGATCACACGGCCGTGATGATGATGATCACACAGCCGTGATAATGATCACACAGCCGTGATGATGATTATACAGCCGTGATGATTATTATACAGCCGTGATGATTATACAGCCGTCATGATGATTATACAGCCGTCATGATGATTATGATTATACAGCCGTGATGATGATTATACAGCTGTGATGATTATACAGCTGTGATGATGATTATACAGCTGTCATGATGATGATTATACAGCCGTGATGATGATTATACAGGTGTGATGATGATGATTATACAGCCGCTTGTCCACCTCGTAGGCTGGGAACACTGCTCAGGGTAGTAATGGGAGGGCGAGTGACCAAGACAGAGACACAGAGACAGAGACACAGAGACAGAGACACAGAGACATTTCCGGATTCAGTTCCAGCTCCAGTTCCGGATTCAGTTCTGGTTTTACTTTCTGGGTTCAGCTCCAGTTCCAGCTCCAGTTCTGGTTTTACTTTCTGGGTTCAGCTCCATTTCCAGCTCCAGTTCCTGGTTTTACTTTCTGGGTCCAGTTCCAGCTCCAGTTCCTGGTTTTACTTTCTGGGTTCAGCTCCAGTTCCAGCTCCAGTTCCTGGTTTTACTTTCTGGGTTCAGCTCCAGTTCCAGCTCCAGTTCCTGGTTTTACTTTCTGAGTTCAGTTCCAGTTCCGGTTCCGGTTTCCAGGTCCCGGCTCAGGCCGGTGATCACTCCCTGGACCGCCTCCCTGAGCGTCGCCACCGCCATCCCCCTCATCACGCCGCCTCTCCAATCCACCACCACCTCCACCACCACCTCCACCACCTCCAACTCCACCACCACCACCTCCAACTCCACCACCAACTCCACCACCTCCAACTCCACCAACTCCACCAACTCCACCTCCTCCAACTCCACCACCTCCACCAACTCCACCACCTCCACCACCACCTCCGCCACCACCACCTCCAACTCCACCACCAACTGCACCAACTACACCAACTCCACCACCTCCACCACCTCCAACTCCACCACCTCCAACTCCACCACCTCCACCACCTCCAACTCCACCACCAACTACACCAACTCCACCACCACCTCCACCCCCATCACCAACTCCACCACCACCAACTCCACCCCCATCACCTCCACCTCCCACCTCCTTCCCCAACCCCCCCGGGTCAGCCCCCTCCCCCTCCTCCCACTCCTCCCCCCCCTCCTCCCCCCCCTCCTCCTCCCCCCCTCCCCCCCCTACCCCCCCCGCCAGCACGAGCCCCCCCAGCTGAGCGTGCGAGGCCTCCGTGAGGGCGCGAGTCTGCAGGCAGGCGCGGCGCTGCGCTCCCGCTAGGCCCTGCGGGCAGCGCTTGGCGTGGTGCAGGTGGAAGAGGCCGCGGGCTGGAGCACGAACCACCACAAAGCCGCCCCCCCCAAACACCGCTGCTGCTGCTCCTGCTCCTGCTGCTGCCCCTGCTGCTGCCCCTCCACCTGCCCCTGCAGCTGCCCCTCCACCTGCCCCCGCGGCCGTGCCCCGTTGGAGGTGCTTGCGGTAGAGAGCCACGTCCTCGCCACCCCAGCCGCGGATGTCCGGGTCGAAACCGCCTTGTGGGTAGTGGTGGGGGGGGGGAGATAGTGAGTGGGTGAGTGGGTGGGTGAGTGGGTGAGTGTGTGGGTGAGTGGGTGAGTGAGTGGGTGAGTGGGTGAGGGAGTGGGTGAGTGTGTGAGTGAGTGGGTGAGTGAGTGAGTGGGTGGGTGAGTGAGTGGGTGGGTGAGTGGGTGGGGGAGTGGGTGGGTGAGTGGGTGGGTGGGTGAGTGAGTGGGTGAGTGAGTGGGTGAGTGAGTGGGTGGGTGAGTGGGTGGGGGAGTGAGTGAGTGTGTGAGTGAGTGAGTGGGTGGGTGGGTGAGAGAGTGGGTGAGTGAGTGTG